GGGGATTATTTTGAGATATCAAGAGTATTCAGGCTGTTGCCTAATTTCATGGCTGTTTGGACCGGATTGCCATTTTGCTTAGCCAAGGAACTGCTCATAGAGATTTTTCATGATCTCGTGATTATTATCTACTCCATTTGTTTCTAAATATAAGAACTTTTAGAGATTTTTCAATATGGACTACATACGGAGCAAAATGTCTGAAGCCTAAATCTCCCTTGACGTTTTCTGACCCTGGAGATGGTTTATACCTTTATTACTCATGTGAAAGACATAGATGGTGTTAGTGACTATTCAGCTCTTGCCTCTTGGCCGTCATTCGCCTCCAAGGTGAACCGGCAACCTGTTAACTGACGCAGCAGGCTCCTTCCTAACTGAAAATTTTCGACGCCCTCACGGAGGAAGTGATAAATAGCTTATTCATGTGCATCATGGCTATTTATTTATTTGCCAAAGTTTATCATGGACCTTTTAACTCAGTTTATACAACTCGTAACCATATTTTTTTCAGTTGAAGGCTCGTACTCATATAGTGAGGTGAAACGGAAAAACAGCATGACAACAAACAGCACCTTCAGTCAGTACCTTCACATAATAAGTAACACTACAGATAAGTCGTCCGGAACAGATTTGAGAATGAACTTGGTAGGTGTGGAGCTTGTCATATTCCTCGCTCTTGTGCTTCGAGTAAAGATCACACCCTGATTATCAGGGCCTCCTGGTACGCTCCTCAAATCCTAAGGCTCTCAAGAAAGCTCATGCGCTTCTTGTCCGCATTGCTCATGAGATAGTCCAGGAAGTCACTGAAGCTGCTCTCCTTGTACCTCTCAGGATCTTGCTCATCCACCAGCTCCTTGGCAACGGATACCGTCTCGTGCATCCCAAAACTATGGATGCTCGCCATGGAGATCCTCGCCTCTCCAGGGTTGAGGACAGCACGGTGCACGACGGTCCTGATCCGGCCATTGCTCAGGACCTCCATGTAGTCTCCCACGTGGACGTGCAACGCGTGCCGGGGTTGCTGGACCACTCTCCAGGTGTTGCTACTTCGGTCAAGAACCTCCAGGCCTGAACAGCTTGCGAGCAAGATGGTGAGAAATCCGTGATCGGAATGCGGTGCCAGCCCTATCGCCGAATCGCCTTCTGGTTCTTTCGGGTAGCAGTTCACTTGCAGTAGCTGCAATCCTCTCTGAAATTCTTCATGCTGGTAGTCTTTGCCCAGTCCCAGGCCTTCAAGTATGGCTTCCATCAGCTGCAGAGCCACCCTCCTTACTTCAGCTGAAATTTTTCCCATGTCCTCCCTGTTTTCAGTACACAGAAAACAGCTATGTTAGATGAGAATCACACAATTGGTTCTGTAGTTCAAGGCTGTAAGAAGATTTCTAGGAAAAGTATTTTGCCTGTAGGTTGGTGGTTTTTCTGGCCAATATTGCAACCATTCACTGAGGGGATGGGCATAATGCTTTAGGAATGTCCGTGCCGGACGAGTGCCGTCCTTTGAGCTGGTGCCGTATCGAACAGGCCGTCGGATATCATCTGATGCAAATTCCTGCTTTGTCTCACTTGGAAGTTTGAAGAACTCTGAAGCTGCTTCAACGGCACGGTCCATGACAGATTGACTGATCCCATGGTTTATAACCTGTAAAATGAGGAATTATCATGGCAATTTGGACAGGCATGTAAGCTTTGTTTGCTCTCTTACACCTGCTTGTTAGTGGTGTCCAAACAAGGGTTCAAGAAAAGGCAGTACCTTAACTCCTTAAGTTCTCCCCTAACATACAGTGACTTAATTGGAAAGACACATTCTAACAAGTTATTACTTTTCTCAAACTAATGTTTTACACTTTTAGTAGCCGTCCTTGAGAACCTCGACACTGCTTTGATTTGGAAGTTGAAGATTACAACGCTTTACATGGACAATATGGACCTGCTATATATAAATAATGTTCTGTTATTGCCCTTACTAAAAGGGCCTTGTCTGCTGCCTTGTTGTGTCCACATCCACCCATAGGACAATGATGCAGTTGTTGAAACCAGCCATTTATATCGAGTACCAACTGTTGATAAAGACTGAAGAAAAATTGAGATGCTTGTACACTCACATTCCGTAGATACTTAAGAATACCGTCTCTAAATTTTATGAAGACTAATTTACAGATCAAAAGTGCACTCGAGGCTAAAATGTGCACGGCATGAAAATAATTAAGTATGGAACAAGAAGTGGGAACGATCTAAAATCGGCACATGCTCAAATACCTTCAATGCAGTATGATGTCAGTGAGGTGAAAAATGAAGCGTGAAATGGGGACTGAACTTCTTCGGCTTCATGTTGTTTGTCAGTTGTCATGTAACGAAATGGAGCTAGTTCCAATGATTCGTGTAGTTGCTCTTTTCGCAGTAGTTCTTCAACTACAAATCTAGTTTAGTTTCCTCATTCGTACATGTGGAAATATTGTCAAAGAGCATACCTGAAAGTATCCGAGATCATGGCACGCTCTGGCGATATCTTCCACCACGCGAGATCGTGCCTCGGGTTCAATAGTGAGGTGACCCAGGTTGATCACCGGCATTGGCGGCGCCGGTGGGTGGAGCTTGTCCGACCTGAGCTGCTCCTGAGGGGTGCTCCTTGAGTCGCACGACATGTCAACGTACCGTGCAGGCACCTGCACCAGAGTCCGGTCTGACTAGTTCAGAACAGAGACAGGATGAATTGGAGTTCCCCTGTGAGGCAGCATCTACTTATAGGCAGCTTCATTGACTCCATGTAAGGCAGGAAAGAAAACTTTGGTTGGAAGGATGAGAAAGGTGATAGGTTGTTGCGATGACCTCTTTATGATCACAAGCAAAGCATTCGGAAGAATGGAGGTCCGGTCAAATTGCAGGCAAATGAAATCTATGAGATCTCGAAGATTCTAAACAAGCCAATGGCAATTAAAATCTCTGCCTCCCCTTTGTCACTCGACCTAACAATTAAAGACTTTTTGGGTCCGGTTTTCCATATAAACTGGACCATATCTCGTCTTCTTAATGAACTGCAGGAACCCCCTGCCCTCGCACGACGAGTTTCTTAGAAAAGAAAGTTCAAGCACTGCCATAATGTATCAGACAACTAACAAGGGCTAGCAGATTGCTTGCAGTGATGATATCACTGTGATGCTCCATGAAGCGACGCATGCAAACTAAATCGAACATCATGCTTCGTCCCTGATAAACAATACGTATTTGAGAGAGAGGGAGAGAAGGGACCTGGAGGAAGGGCAGCAGCCCCGCTTGTCACCCCGCCAGCAGCAGAAGGCGCCGGTGATGAGGGAGCACGTACGGCGGTGGCGAAGAGCAGCGGCGCTGGCAGGAATCGAGGGGGTGGAGCAAGCGCCAGCGGCGGAGGTGGCGACGGGCGTCGGGAGTGCGGAGATTTTTCTGACTGGAGATGGTTGGGTTGTGGCCACAATTGGTGATGGTGATCATCCATCTGCCTACCTACTACGTACCTATGACAGTGGCGTCGATGTTGAACAGTTCTGTCTCCGGAAGGAACCAATCCAGACCATCATTCGCCTCCAAGCTGAAGCATTATATTATGTGCCCAATCTTGTAGAGAAAGTGTCCCAGCAACCCGTTAAGATGAGGTACCAAGCTCCCTCCTAACTGAAACTTGTGGAGGTTCGCATTCCAGAATCCAGATTGAAAGAAGTGAGAAATAGTTCAGTTGTGTACCATGCATGGATACTTAAACTCACTTGGTTGATAACACAACTTACAGGATTGATTTTACATCGTCGTTTTTTTTACCTAATAATCTAATACAGACTCTATAATAATCATATAATAATGGGGTCAAAGTGTAAAAATAAAATGACAACAAACAAAAACTTCAGTACCTTGAGATCAAAAGTAAACATCACAGATAAGTCGTCCCAGACAGACGAGATGAACTGCTGTAGGCAGCTTTGTCAGCATTTTCAACAGCTAGCACGCAGCTGATTGGTACTCCATCACTTATAAGAGCGTTTAGATCAATACTCTTATATTTCTTTACGAAGGAAGCACATAGTAAAATTTTTGGTTCTGAAGCAGCCAACCTAAACTAAAATTTAAGGCTATAGCCTATATTTTGCTACCAAATTGATACATATACCAATCTAAATACACAAAATAAAAAATAAAAAATTGCGGCTAGGCGAAGCCAGCTGCCACCCTCGTGAACTTTCCCTGCCATTGTGTCACCCACCTCCGCATGGCCGTCCCGAGCCCCACCGGCCGTTTCCACCACCAAAATCAGTGTGCCACGAACCGCGCGCAGTCACGCCTTGGTTTCAGACGTCCCTCTCCCGACACCGTCGGATCAGCCCCCACCGCCCCCCCCCCTCTCCACCCGATTCCTCGCCACCCCCGAGCTCCCCGCCACTGCCAAATTCCTCGCCGAGCCACCGCCCCGCAAGCACCGTGCCGGAATCTCCCAACCTCCTCCTCACCGTACTGTGGCGTGAGGCAATGACCATGGATCCGCCTCACGGCCTCCCCACCGTCGGATCTTCATGTTTCATTTGCCTTTGAAAATTTATGAGGTATATCAAATTTTGAGTCTACTGTAAAAGCTGACAACATTTTAGTTACCTAAAATCTTCTCTCCGCATCTAAAACCGTACTTGGTATTCAAATTTTATAGGCTACCTATTGAAGATGCTGTAGCAGTACCACTAACTTATCTAAGTACTAGTATTACAGTACCACCAACATGGATAATTGGTTCCATAAACACTTGGATAGATCATAACTACATATTACAGTAACTTGCAATCTTGCATAACTTAATTAGTTCTCCACACATATAGATAAAGATAGATCATAGAAAGAAAAAAGACATGAGGATTCTTTGCATAGCTAGCTGCTTCATCCAGCCACCACCTCTGTTGCGATGTCCTTGCTCTGCCTGCGCTCAGGGACCGGGAAGGGGGGGGGTGTAGTCGACGTACGGCTTGGGGAACTCGACGTAGCCCTTGGTGAGCAAGTCGACGCGCATCTTGGCTAGGTGGAATCGCGAGTGGTTGGGCTCGCCCCTCTTCTCCGGCCGCATCTCCTCGTCCAGCATCCGCCTCCGCTCGTCGAGCCACCCTGGCGGGAACTCCCCGTTGGGCGGGAGGTCCTCGGCGGCGTGGAGCTCCAGCCAGCTGCCCAGGTTGAAGGCTGAGCTGATGCGTTTGTCGTCGTAGCGAACCATGCCTTCGCCGGTCGGGGTCGCGGTGGAGGGGTCCGACTCCCTGACGATCCTGTCGGCTGCCTCGTCCAGCTGCCGTGCGTCCAGCGCCGCCGCCTCGGGGAAGGTTAGCAGATGCGCCATGATCGCCTGCCGCAGCGTCGCGACGTCGGCCGGCGCCGCCTCGCCGGAGCCGGCGGCCTTTCTTTTGGTGCCACAACGCTTGTCATCGCCGGCCGCCGACATGTGCGCGCCGGCTAAGCGCCCCTTCCGCCGACCGCTCCTGGTGCCGGCCGTCGGTTGATGGGTTTTGGAGGTTTGCTTGAGGATTGGGATTGGTGCGGCGGCGGCGGTGTCGTCCCGGTCTATATATATAAAGAGATCAAGTCGGGTTTCTTTTTAGGCAAAGAGATCGAGTCGGTGGGTTGGTCAAGTCTGGGCCAGGCCCGGTCTTTTCAATTCTTTTTTCTTTTGCGACAAAGACATACAAGTTCAAGATTACCTTACAGAGGTGGAGCTGGCTAGAAAATGAGGCAAATTATTTTAGCAAAAAGAGAGGCACAAAAGAAAAAAGAATTGTATGTCTCGGACGTCCCCATGCGCTCGTACTGCGTATGTCGCTTGTACCGGGAGACCGGCACCCTGCCGTCGTGGTCCGATGCCCACCTCCCCAATGGGTGGCATCTGAGCTCAAATCGGGTGCCCATTCCCCCGTCCTGGCGAGCGGCCGCACCTTACCTCGTCGACCGGCGCTACGACGTCGACTCGCCCCTCTGGAACACATGATCTAGGACGAGCATGACATGCACTAGCAAAATATTTTGGTCGGTCGTGCTCGTAGCCCGCCCCGCGTGCCACGTATGCGCGCACCGAGTCCGCCTAGAGTGCGCTGCCTGGCGACGCCCTCTCCCTCCTTGTCGCCGTCGCCACCACCACCTCCCATCATGACGACCGAGGAGGAGGAGCGGCTGGTGCATGCCGTGATGGAGGATTCCGAGAGGGAGTACAAGCGCAGCCATGAGGAGCAATGGGAGGGGCTGGAGGAGACGTTGACGCTCTCAGCCACCGGAGATGTCTGCGTGCCAGAGCTGGACGTGAAGCGGGAGGTGATGGAGGACCGGCCGCCCACCCCGGTGTGAAATCAGGCGTTGTACGGGCAGTCGTGGTCGTGGACGACCACGGTGCCATGCAGCCCACCGTCGCCACTGCCAGCCCCGCGGGCCGCGTGGGCGCCGTAGTCACCGCCGCCGCCGCCACCAGCGCAACCTGCACAAGACGCACCCAGTGGCGGAGCCAGGAAAATCGAATGAGGGGGGCCAAGTGCTGCTAATCTTCATTGGGGAGGGCCGGTGCATCAAAATACACCAATTTAATGGCAAATAATCACCTTTTCATATGCATATTAGGCTTAGATGAAAAATGTTAGGGGGGCCAGGGCCCCTACTGGCCCCCCTGTCTCCGCCACTGGACGCAGCCGCCCTACCTCTGGATGCCGCCTCCCTACATCGACCTGACTAGGGACGAGGACGGTGACACCTGAAGACGGCCACAACATCGGCGGCAGCGGGCGGTAGATCTATCTTTTTTATGTTTTTTTATTTCAACTTAAGTACTATGTGTGGGCTGTGACTATCGAGGAATTTTAAATTAAGTTATTGTAATATATTTATGTTCTGAAGCATTTTACAATGCATTTTTCGTTTTAAACGGACATAAAGTTTGGGATGATGCCGCCCGTTAGGTGCACCGACCGGCGATCAGCGAAAAGGGGTATGGGCGTCCGTTTTGCCGACCCAAAGGGACAAAATCCGGACAAAATCAGCTCTCTGGAAAGAAAGAAAATGCCAGCTGTACCTTTGCAGGTTGATGCGTGGCATTGCCCATTCTGCTCCTCTGCGCAACTTCAGAGTTCAGAGACAATCTGTCACATGTGTATTCCCCGCTGCCACCATCTTCTTCCTCAATGGGACAATTTACAAAGCCTGTGACTGGACCATCCTGAAGAAATTTATATTTTGGGCAAACAATCGATCCAACAAGGTTCGATCGATCTACCGTCAATCATTGCAATCTTATATTGGAACCTATGGAAATGACGAACTGCCAGTCTGCCACGGTGTTCCGCCGTGAACTCGAAGGGCTTCACACTCACAACGCCAGCGCCGCCAAACCAAAGCCAAAGCTGCAGGCAAACTCAAATAAGGGGAGCTGCATGCCCACCGGTGGAAGTGGAACCCGGCCGGCGACGGATCACGACGTCGTCTCCTTGGGAGGCGCTGCGCCGTTGCACGTCGTTGTACCGCTGCGAATTGCATGGCGCAGCCTCTGCAACGCAGCGTGGGACGAGCCGCCCTCCTCCACGGCCCGCCTGCACGCGGCCTTCATCTTCATGGCCTTCTCCCTCGCCATGGCGCCCTCCTCCTCCGACCCGCCGCACATCACGCGTCT